TAATTGATTTTACCCGGCAGAACGAAACTCCGCTTTTCAGTCGTCTTAGGCACTCGTTTTTTGACAAACAATGACCTTTCAGAGGTCAAATTGCTGTCAAGAATATGAATTGGCTGCTTCGCAGCAATAATAATATGCAATATCAGAATTGCTTGCTGTGTACATTTAATTTTTAGCTTTCAATTAATTTTGTTGTCTCTCGAATTAAGAGCTGGGCCTGCTGAGACAAACTAAAAGCATGTGCACTGCAGCACTGGACTAGCGTTCGTATGCACAATTATGCCTACCCAGCTTAGTAAACTTCATGTAGAAAATTTAATTAGACAAGTTTTTTACATGAAGCTAGAAAAGAAATTATTTTGAGCACCGACGGTAGTTGTTCATCTCGCTCGGTCCACATGGTTTTAGATTATAACAGCGAGGTTATTAGACACAAGCAACATTGCTGTTGAATGCAAATACTTTGCATATGGTTTGTTCATTTTTATAGTACTGAAATAATAGACAGACAGAAACTAACAAATCTCTTTTTACATTATGGTGGCAATGAAAAGGGTCGTTTGTTTTAAGTATTTTGGGGGTTTTTGATGACGTCATCGTCCGCACGTAAAACTGAGGGTTCGTATAACTCTGAGGTACGTAAAACACAAGGTTCTACTGTATTAGCAATATAAAACGTTTCATTATATTAAGATAGAAAAACATTACCAATAGGTTGCCTGTGTCTGTTGCTGAGGCAAAGGTGAAGTAGTTGTGAGGGTCATATTCTACATATCGAACACGATCTTGAACTTTAAAAACAGAAACGCAGGCACTTTCTAATGGCTGACGTAAATCCTGTATGATGAGAATTAAAGTATAAAAAATATATATAAAAAATATATATGTATACCAAAGTCATACTATAACATGAATAGACAGATAGCAATTTTGTATGGATTCTTGACTATTGGGTAATTTTCAGAAAAAAAAAAAATTTATAGGCTCAACTTACAAAAGTTCGCACTGTTTGGTCATTAGATCCACTAAAAAGAATGTTTGGTTCTTTGGGATGAAAACATACTTTGGTTGCAGTTTGTGAGTGGTCAGTAAAAACTTTATCCTGCTTGGACCTGCGCATATGATCTAGGTTCCACGTAACAACAGCACCATTTGTTGCACAGCTTGCCAATATATTTGCTGAAGCAGTAAACACAAAGCCACTGCATTACATAGGTTTTTCAGAATTTGAGTGATACTGAAACATATTTATTTTATAGCACAGCCGGACACTCACTACGCCCCAAAACGCGATGACACATGCGCAACAAATTGTTTTTAATGACAATCCATTCAGGCTGCCACCAACAACCAACAGTTTGCGTCACATCGTCGGTCTTGGATTCGTCATGCGATGGTCGTACGGCACAGTGAGTGGCCGGCATGCGAATTTTAAAATGCTGCATCATGGCAATGTATATAAATACCTTGTGACGGATGCCATACCACGTCAGTACAGCTTAGATTCAAGTTTATTTTGCCAACTCTCAAATCCAGTTTTTCTATGAAACTATGGTCCTCAAGTTTGAAAATTTTGAATACTGAAAATAAACACAAACATTTAATACAGTACTTTCCATATGCAAATATCTTCAAACTTAATAGAGTTGTGATAAACATGAAACCTGTTAAAGGTACAGGTAATGCTAAAATATCTTAGCACTCTTTATTATGACGTTTGGGAAGTAGGCGGCAAATCATTGGTGTCCTTGATGCTGTATCAACCAAGTCTATTTTTGAGGCCTAAGGATTAGAAAGTGTTTATTTGGATGTTCCTTACCATTTCTTCCAGCAATTACTACTTGATTTTTATCACCAGACGCCTGTAAGTCAAGAGCATTGATACCTTGAACTGGGTGCTCAAGTTTCAGTTGTAGCCGTCTTGTGGCACTTGACTCCAGCGCTGTATAAAAAAAAATTAAATTTAAATATACAGTTAAGTATGCAGTGTACATATCAAGATGACATAAACATAAATATTTACTTCATTATAAAGCCATTGTTATGTACAGAATTTAGGATTTATTTATTTACTTCATTATAAAGCCATTGTTATGTACAGAAATGTGCATACTGTAAATCCTTGAATAAGCTCAGCGTTTATTTACTTCATTATAAAGCCATTGTTATGTACAGAAATGTGCATACTGTAAATCCTTGAATAAGCTCAGCGTTAATTTACTTCATTATAAAGCCATTGTTATGTACAGAAATGTGCATACTGTAAATTCTTGAATAAGCTCAGCGTTTATTTGAGATTATATTATTTCTAATTAGTGCTGCGGTGCTTAATTGAGAGTACATATTATGCTGTGTGTAATGAAACAATTTGAGACAGCGGGTTTTAAATACAATTATAGTGTTCAAATGAATAAATTACACAATGAAGACAAAAGCATATCTTTATAATCGTTTTACGATGATGTGGGGCCTATGGTATGCCTACCAAACTACAGGAATACGTGAGATAGGTAAGATTGAAACAGGCATGGAAAGCACCATGCCAATTTTTTTTTAATAAGCGCTGCTCTTGAATAAGCGCCACACTCGTGCCTATAAAATGTTATAAGCACCGCGGCACTTATTTGAGGATTTATCGTAAGCCTTTGAGATGTGGTTCTTCAGAAGAATTCTGAGAAAATTAGTTGAGCAAAATCACAAACCAAGAAAAACTTGTAGGAGTGAATAAGAAATTACTACAGCCGAATACTCATTGTGTGTGACGGTAAAGCGACAACGAAGGCACGGACCCAACAGATCGCTTTTTTAATGAGGATCCATTCAGGCTGCCACTGACAATCAGCAGACAGATTTAATTTTTATTCTTTTGTTTTTAATTGTATGTACTGAGGGTCCCAAAAACCAGGGTCGGGTGGGGACGCTCAACAAGTATATTTTTTTTTTGCCTTTATTAACAAATTAACCACATAACCCTAGCTAGGCCAGGCCCATTACGTTCTCTCTGATTAGACCACCCAGCCTTGGCCTAGCTAGGCTAGCGTTGCGAAAGAAAGAACTGCCGACGTGTATGGGTTTTTGTCCTAATTTCGTGGGCTATTACATTTAATTCATACACATATTTGAATAGCACATACGATTGTTAAAACCTACTGATTTGAATGTGTGGTTTAGTATACATAATGAACTTGTAATTAGTTTGAACATGGAGGTATATTGTTCTATGTCTACTGCTGATGTTCTCACGATAAAAACAAAATGTCGCAAACTTTTTCTAATGCATGCGCAAAAATCAAAATTTGCCCTAAAAGCAACTTAAAATGGTCGTAGTGGGTATGTTTTATCGTGTACAGCGATTACATTTTTTATCTAACCGAAAAAACAAACATTTCTTGCACAATTACATGTCCACCAAAAACTATGGGACACACTGTATACCCGCCGCGAAGCACCGTTTAGGAGCCTATTTGTTTACAAACATACCAACATGTTGTGCCCATACATCTCACACACACGTTTCACATCTGTATCATCCCAATAGTTCCACTGTGACCTAAGGTCACTAAGGAATTAATAAATAAAACGATTCCCAGCAATGGTGGCATCAAGAGAGAGCGTCCTTTTCCAATTGGATTTGTATATGTCAACAGAGCTGCAAAGGAGAATAAAATTTGCAGGACACATAATTAGAGGCTCTAGTGGCAAAAATGTGTACAAACATTATAAATAGTGGGAGAAAAATGTTGGAGACCGAGGAAGACAAAAATTTGAAAATCCAAAAATGGGAGTCAGAAAGGCTAATGGAGGACAAGAAATGAAAAAAATGATCAGTACTGTACAGAAATACAGAAACAGAAATTGTAAAACATTACATGCAAAATACATATATAATCCATTTAAACATTATGCAATTAAATTATCAGATGAAGATCAACTAATTATGATGCTTATTTTATGAAAATTGCAAGGGCTGATGCAATGCAAAACTATATAAACTAGAGAGGCTCGAGCACATACTAAAGTTTGAAAAATATTTAAGAATAAGGAGACTGATCCTACGCTTACACATGTATTCAGTGTCCTGATCTTATCGTTTGCTTTGAACAAAGGAATATTTATTGTCAACAATACAACATGATACAGTCGAAATTTGGATCCAGGTTTTTAAAAAATGGGTTAAATATAAAAAGATAAAACTAACAAGAAATATTATCTATAAAAAAAATGCCACAACATCATTAACTTATGACTGGTTTGTATTTGCAAACTTAATAAATTAATGTATTCTTGAGGATGATCAATATCATGTTCAGTGCATTTGTTTTATAATGACACATAAACATTAAAATAATAGCCTTCAGGTAAAATTGGTTTACAACTGTAACTAAGCATGCTTGACATGGCTCAACGTCAATTACTCGGTGCACATGCTCACTGGCTGTCTAACATTTCCAAGCGCATGCTCACTGAGTTTTTTACATATTTCACGGACGTTGTTTGGTAACTGCGCTTGCGCATTGATCAGTTCCGAATTCCCATTCCTTCATAGTAAAAGCTAAGTTCTGTACAGTTCCCTACAGTTACTAAATGACTGTTTCCTCTTGGTCATAGCAGCCTAAAGGTGTGGTGCAAAAAACATTGTGTATTTCGTGTTATTAAAGACATTGCACAATTTGCAAATTGTGCAAGCTCTTCAGTTTGAAAACTGTGCAAGGAAATCTTGCTCAATTTGCAAAATGTGCAAGGATTTCTTTGCACAATTTGAAAACTGTGCAAGATCCTGCACAGTTTACAAACTGTGCAAGGAGATTGTTGCACATTTTTAAAATGTGCGGACAATTTGCAAACTGAGCAGGGGTAGCACTTTTTTCAGGATTTGCACTTTTTGATACTATTTTACTACAGTATATATTCTTGTGTTAAAAATAGGTTGCTCTGTGACCAGCGGGATGGAGGGCTTTTTATTGACACGTAGAATTGTTGGGGTCATGTGGATATTGCGTGGATCGTGTTGTGCGGAGAGAAGGGGAGACGGTGGGTGAGTAAGTGGTAATAAATAATAATAATATTATTAATGTAATTTTTATTCTTATATTTTCCAGTAATAGCAACCGTCCGTGTCCCACACACACATAGCCTAACTTTTATATTACAGTAGCTGCAAATTTTCGTATCCAAAAACATTTATTATGTTGAATCATAATCTAATAATAAGTTAACATCAATATCATCAATAAATAAATTTAAATGTCACATTTTATGATAGTTGCTGAAAGAAACATTGCGCAGTTTGCTGCACACTCAGTTTGAAAAGACTTTGAAATAAGATCAGCGACTCGAAATGAGCAAAAAAACAGGGCCATATTCCAGTGTACAATTTGCAAATGTATGAAGTGCTATTGGCAATGACATTTCAGTCAGTGATTTATTGAGGCTGTGCCGGCTAGGCCTGCCTTATTAGATGGTTAGGCCTAGCCTACAGGTAGCCCCTAGCCAGTACCTGACAAAGTGTGAAACTAGAACCTAGACTAGGACTAGGCCTTCCTACAGCTTAGGCTAGATACTAAGATACTAAGATAAACTAGCATGATCTACACTCGCTAGTCCTAGGACCAGGCAACAGATCCGCCTAGCTAGCCTAGGCCTCTAGGCAGGCCTGCCTACCTAGGCCTAGAGAGGGCCTGCTTCAGCCTACCCTTCAGGGTTCAGGGCCCCCCTAGTTAGTTAGGCTGGCTAGCTTTAATTTAGGCCTAGAGCTAGGCCTGTACTAGCTTAGCGCTAACAGTGAACACAAATACAATACAAAATAGGTAAGACATAATACCTCTTTCTTGCACAGTCCTTGACATTTTTAAAAATTTTCAAAAACAAATCAGGCCTAGCCTAGGCCTAGCCCCACTGTAAATTTGCCAGCGATACTTTCTTTCTACAACAACACTGCCATCACTCTGTGTTGCATCCAGCGCGATTTGATATGCACACCCCGGGAACCATGTGATTTACGTCATCGATATTTCATCCTTCCCATCAGTCTCTTCAGTTCCATTTTGGCTGATGATGAGTAAATTTTTGAAGGTAAAATTAAAGAAACACAATCTAAATTTATCACGAAAATCAGTAATAAATTTGATATGTAACTGATTCACTATGAACAATCAACATACTGGAATACGATTGGATACACGTTGTCTTTATATTTATTGTATTCTGAAGAAGAAATCAGGATCTCTTTAGTCGACAAATTTGTGTTCTCGGAAACGACCGGATTTTTGTTCTTGTGTCGATGAAAATCGAATGGATTTTGATCCGAAAAATGTGCACAATTTTAGATTTGCATGCAGCTCCGCTAATGTGAATTGATTTCACAGAATACTTTACAATTAGTTCTGGATTAATAATTTGGAATATTTTATATGGAAGAATTGCTTGGTGCAGCCCAGCAGCTTTCGAAAGGGCCTAGCCTAGCATCGGCTACGTCACATAGCCTGAGGTAGGGCGTCGGTGGTGGTAAGAACCTATTGAACAAGGCCCATGAGAGATCGGACTTCAATTTCTAAGCCTCGCCTTATGTTGTTTTAATTCAGTGAAGACTTCAAATTTGCTCACTCAAACAAGAGGCTATTTTTTGGATGATGTCATTGCATACAGTGTTTAAATCTTGAAAGCTGATCCGGAGGCAGGACAGTGAAATTAGAGAAAGAAGAACAATTTATTTGCAGACAATCAAGCATCTTATTATTTGTAAAAAAAACTGTTAAAAATACAGATGTACTTTTCATTTCAACCGATCAACTGGAACATTTTTGAGAGACGCAGTCACTTTTAATAGGTAGTTAATTTTCAAGGAAATAATTCTTTCAGTTAGCCTAGGCCCTAAATTGTATAAATAATGCTGACCTATATGAGGCATAGGGCCTAGGCTAGGCTGTAAAATAGGCCCTGTGTGTGTGTGTAGGGAATACAAACCCCTTGTGAAATTAAGATCTAGAGATAGAAGAAATTAATCCATCTGTGCATTTCAAAGTCGAGCAGCAGATTTATGATTCTGCGTACTTATCTTCCTGCGCAAATAATAGTTTTTTTATGCATCCCCTGTGCAAATAACATACTTTACAGTATAGATCCTAACCTAATTGTTTTGAATAAATGTAGGCCTAGTAGTAGTCCCTAACCCTCTTTAGTGGTCGCAAAAGATTTTCTTTAAGTAGTGTTCATTATATTTCAAACTTATTTTTAGGATTTTGTTTAGATACAGTAGTAGGTAAAGTTTAATGCTGTAGTAGTACTGTAGTACTTCGGTAGTAGCCTCAGCTAGCCAATGTCACATGCTATTTTAACCAATTTGTCTGTGTCTCGTGTGTTTTTGAATGTGATTTTGAAGTTTTATTAATTTGATAAAATATGAATATTAGTATCAGATTTTTGAAGCTATGAGATTTGTGTAGTTTTTATAGAAGTCCAGTATACATTTTGTTAGGGCATTATATTGCCACAGGATTTATATAGGTACAATCTGATCTTTAACGATAGTAAATTATGATTTTATTAACTTCAATTTGAACTTGGAACTATAGGCATTTAGTTAACTAGATTCTTTTTAAAACCAGAATGCATTGTTGATAATTTAGGATTTTAATGTAGATGTAATTAAGTAAAGAAGAAGCCCATAAATGGCATTTGTAAACCCTGTGTAAAAGCAATTTATGCCGGACCATGATAATTTTCTTTACAAAAAATGCCTTCTCAATGTTTTGTGTCGGTATATTTAGAAAATATTAAAATAAAAAACAAAAATTGTTAATGCTTTGGGATAATTTGCAATGCCTCCAATACCTAGTTGGCACTTTTTTAGTCTTGTGTCAATATTAATAAAATACCTAAATTACATAGTATTTTGGGTTAAATTTTATTGCTAAAGAAATTACCCCATGTTGAAATGGAACTGTCAGTCCAATACCAGGTTCTTTGATTTTGGTTGGTTGGGGATTTTTTTTTTCATAACCGAAAGCTACTATACAGTACACTCACTGAGCCTCAAAATGAGACTTTGTTTACGAGTTTAATGTTGAGTATCAAGGGGTACAGTCTTATTAAAGGATTTTCACATAGTAAAGTGATTATGATTGCTCTTGGGTTATCCTTGGTCAATGTGCCTAAAAATTAAATTAAAAATAAACATATTTGTTTATACTAAGGATTACAGTAGAATATTTTAGGCATATTTCATTATCCATGCAAATATGTGGTATTGTTTGGTCTTGTCAGGAAAAAAAAAATCAGAAATCTTGTAAATACCCTAAATTCCCACTATTACTTGATGTAATTCAAATTTACAGATATTTGTTTTTTTTTTAATTATAATAAACTTTTTTCACTGGTGAAATAGAATAACAAACTATAATGCTATATGATACAATGCCAACTGTACCAACAGAACCTCCTGTTAACCTTTGTCATAGGGCTAAAACTTCAATGTGTTTTTATACTGTATGTTGTACTAAAATTTTAGTTGCTCTATATACCTGTACCATAATGAAGATAATATTATTGGTATACGGTAACATGCTTAAATTTATTTACTGTAAATTAATTTTTCAATTTTTGTTTCATTCACAGGAAATAATAAAAAATGCCAAGTTCTCGAAGTGGTAACCGGCATAGAAGCCGTAGTCCACATCATCGGCCTAGCCCTGCTGGTTCTTCATCAAAACACAAAAAGCACAAGAAACGCAATAAAAAAGACAAGGAGTCCCAAAAGGTTGCCAAATTAGTTGAGTATGATGACATCAGTAGCGAAGATGAGAACTTCTCATGGCAAAACTCTCCAGTGCCTACATCTCCAAAGAGAGAGAGGTCTCGCTCACGTAGAGGAAGTTTATCGCCTGGAACCCTTATACAAATGCATAAACTCAGTCAGGCAAAAGGCAAAAGTACTCATCAACCGCATCGTTCAAGACCATCCTCCTCATCAAAGAGGAAGTTGTCTCCAGCAGAACCTCCACGGGCATACCGGTACAGTCCGTCTCCAGAACAGCAGCCACGAGCTTACAGACCAAAGGCTACAAATGAAAGGCGATACGAGCCTAACAGAAGATTACGCCGTAGTCCGAGTCCACCTCCAAGATCGAGACGTTCACCAAATGCATACCATATAGGGCGTTCCCCTAGTCCTCGACGAAGAAGCCCAGAATCACCGAGGATTTCGGACAGGTAAGAAACTTACTAACAGTCATTTCTTTCAGGATTTTTATTAGCTACAATATTCATTGTGTTTAATATTGATGAAGCAACATGCATTAAAAATTATCATTTATATATAATTGATATCTATTGGTTTGCATTGTCTTGCATTTGACTTTTCTTTGGATGCTAAACATTCTCATTCACAGCTCTAGACGTAGCAGGACAAATCATGGGTCTTACCATTCCCGATCCAGGTCGCCTTCCAAACCTCGCCGTAGAAGCCCAGATGGTGATTATGCATCAAATTTAGCAGCTGAATTGGTCAGGACAAGGAAAAAAAAGGAAAAAAGTCACATAAAACCACTACCAAAAAATAGTGGAGATCAAAAATCACCAAAAAAGGCATTTGTGGAAAAGCCTGATTATAAATACACAGAAACATGTGCCCCAATCGAAGTTACAATTAAAAATGACCGTAAACCTGAGTCACCAACATTGGATAGAAAGGTGCATAAGACAGATGGAGAAACCAACAAGGTTGTTGTAAGTGGTACAGGAAGACAAGTAGAGAACCTCACCATTACAAAAGATGTTAAAAAGGAAGAAATACCAAAGGATGTAGGTCAATCAAAACCAACAATAAAGGCACCACCAAGTGGGCGTGTACCCACATTACCCGTACTGCCTTTCCCACCAGTCATCGGAGAAAAAGAACATACACCATCATCCCCAGAAGAACCAAAACCAATAAAACGAATGAAAGATGAAAAGCATGTCAGTAGGGTTATGAGACTTCCCCTCCCTCCATCTGCACCAGGAACCCCAGATAGAAATCTAAAAGATCATTCTTCTAATTCTAAGTCCAAAGAAAGAGTTAAAAAACCGATTAGCATTAGTCCTCCCAAGTTGAAGGTAAAGAAAGAAGCTGTACCAGCATTTAGGAATCGCAAGGAACAAAGAGAAATGAGGGCAGCAAAGGAGGCAGACTGGGGAGAGAGATGTGTTGATGTGTTCAATATCATTGCTCCAGTGGGTGAAGGTACCTATGGTCAGGTGTACAAGGCAAAAGATAAAGATAAAGGTAATTTGTAACTTTAATTACTTTGGGTTTTTTTTTTTATTATACAATATAAATATTTCTTTATTTTGCAAAGCTCTTTAAATACAATTAAAGAATTAATTTCCCAATGCATCCAGATTTGCTAAAACATAATATTAATTCATATTCAAAAAATTAAAGGAAGGTAAAAAACCATGGAATTTAATTATATAAATGATAATTTAAATTTAATAAATATTGACTAATGACATAATTTTTTTAATTTCTGTATCTCCAAATTCAGTTTTCAAATATTGTAATATATAGTTGGGTACATGTTGTGAGTTGGTTGTTAAACATCAGCTCAGAAATCACTAGACACTTGCTTATTTTATTCATTTTATTTGCATTTAATTCATGGTTTTATTATTTGAAACTTGGCAACCCATATTTTACCACCCAATTGTGGCTACCAAAATTGCCAGGTCTGGCAGAGACCAATTTAGGTATAAGCCTGCGGTACATTTTTGTTACCAATAATCAAAGTGTTCAATGCTTGGAATTAGAAACAGCTTATGATCTAAATCTCAGGATTGAATCCTATAAGAGCCAGAGGCTCCTAGGAACCCTGGTAGAGTCCAGGCAGTGGCGTAACAGCTACAATAAGAACACTCACTCGCTATAGCCATGGGCCTCGGGCCTTACTGGGCCACGTGCACATTTATCAGCATTTTTTCCCAATATGATACCTGAACACTAAAAAATACCCCATAAAAATACTTCCTTAAAATGTCAAATACACCAAAACGGTCAGTGCATATCCCCCAAGGTGGTAGGACCCTGAAGAAGCCTTATCCAGTGACCTTAGACTCTTTATTACACCACATCTGCATCTTCATTGTTTAGCATGGCAACTGATAACACTGATCCATGAAGCCCTGGGGTGCAGCTGTGTGTTTTCCCTTGATGACTTGGAATTAAGTTGAATCACTGATTTAAATTGCTCATAGGTAAGAAAGTTAGGGATTGGGATACTGTAGCTCGTTCCAATTTGTTATTGGTCTAGGTAAAAAAGAATACTGGTACTTGATGTCCTGGCATTGATGCACTGGTATGCATTCAGATTTTGGTATCTACTAGGTCGTGAGTGAATCCAGGGGATAGCCCTTTTAAACCAAATCAAAGTTTGAAGAATAATTATTTGATCTTAACAGGTGAGATGGTGGCTTTGAAGAAGGTGCGATTAGACAATGAGAAGGAAGGATTCCCAATCACAGCAATACGAGAGATCAAAATCTTGCGACAATTAAACCATCCAAGCATTGTGAACCTCCGAGAGATTGTAACAGACAAGCAAGATGCATTGGATTTTAGAAAAGATAAAGGTAGGAATCTGCTGCCATCAGTTCAACTTTATGTACTAGGATGTCCACACCACAATGTGTTTTGTTTTTTTATTCTCCACATAAGTGATAGTGCAATTAGGCTTCTCTAGCAGTGGGCACACCTCATTTACGTAATATATTCATTCTTTTTTTTCTATTTGATCGCTTACTATGTTGGCCTAGGGGCGAACAATGTTGAAATAATAACCAATTTTCCTAGGATATATTGCTTTCTGTCTCTAGATACCATTTACATTCTTTCAGGTGCCTTCTACTTAGTATTTGAATACATGGACCATGATCTGATGGGCCTCCTTGAGTCGGGTCTGGTCAACTTTCACGAGGAGCATATACGTAGCTACATGAAGCAACTACTAGATGGCTTAGCCTACTGCCACAAGAAGAATTTTTTACACAGGGATATCAAATGTTCTAATATATTATTAAATAATAAGGTATGTTTAGGAATTTGTTTAGTTTTTGTTTTTTTAAAAAAATTATATATATCAGCACATCAATTACTTATTTTACATTTTGTAGTAAAATCGTAGCCTTGCACAGAGAAAATGTTATCTGTGTCTGAGAAGTAGTGAGCAACACTCGCGCTACAAATTGCTTAGAAATCTGAAATCTCTAGTACAGTAGTTACTATATTTGTTTACGCTCAGTAAATGGCACTACAGCAACATTTCACAAACTTGTGGAACTGGGCCCGTAAACATTTCAGGTATAACCGCGTCCCATCCACCGAATGGCAACAATTAGGATGGATATTTTTTTTCCATTAACTAAGTTAAAAAATCAAGAAAGATATTTTTAGCATGAACATGACCAGAGGGATCCTTATACTAATGCACAGCACTCTTCTACAGGTAAGTGAGACTTGACATAACCGGGGGAGGATTTGGGGGCCCCCGAGTCAGCCCCAGCAACTTTTCATAAGAAAAAAAGAAAGAAAAATAAATTATTGATTGCTCAAAATGCCTTGGAGGTTATTTCCGAGCGTCTCTCCTGGAATTCATAAATATACAAATCAAGTTAGGCCTATAGTAATATATTACAGGATACGGTATTGTTTATACAGTATTCTACTCTGAAGGAGGCCCTCTGGCTACTTTTGATATTCACATAATCAATTTTTAAGATGCGACGCTTTTTCGCCCCATTACTCGTTATGCCACTGCATAGTTTGCGGAACGTTTTGTACTACTATACAAACACTTTTTTTACATTGTTTTTAGGCCTATGGTAGGCCCTAGATTAGGCTATACACTATTGATTTTTTTTTTTATTTATATACAGTTTTATATTAGTGTAATTTTATCTAACCAGAACAACAAACTACCAACACGAGTCGTCGGATTGAGCGCACATGATTACGATGATGAATAAACAAGAGTGTGAAGCTGGATGATCGCGAAATGCATGTACACAACACAGTTCAGCGATTTAAAAACTAGAAAGAACACGATAGAAAGTTCCATAAAACATACAGAAGTTTTAATAAGAATTAAAACAATATTTTGTTAAATGTCAGCGGTTACAGTAATTTATTTTTATCGAAGGTAAATTTAGCTAGGCTTTAGCATTGTGGACCATGCTACTGCACTGTCAGTTTGTGGTAGGCCTCGCCGCCGTCAGTTTATCGGCGCTCAATGGCATGGTATAGCTAGGCCTAGGTAGTGGAAACTGACACCTGATCTAATATACAAATATTTCAATATACAAACATCCTTTGGTACCAAGGGGTACGTAAACTTGACTTACTGTACTGTTATTACAAGAACAGTGCAATCAGTGACAGGATGGAGACTTGCCTCTTTTGTTTCCTCAACTAGCATAATTTGGTGTGTCATAAAAATATTAAATCTACTCAAATATTTACACCCCATGCTTATACCTGCGTTAACCTTGATAGACAAGTCAAAAGATAGTGTTAAACAGAAACTATTGTTTTTAACTAAAGAATGTTAAAGTATTTGACACTTGACACATGCACATTGATACAATAGATTAGGTCTACTTATGATTGTCCATTTATCTCAGTAGTTTGTTAGTATATGTATAGTATATTTTTACTTTTTTAATTTAAGAACTTAATCTGTATTTTTATAAAGCATTATTTTGTTGTTTGCCTTTTTTATCTTTTCTGAGATTTTTTAATTGTTCATTTCATGTTAGTTATGTAGGGGACACCTATGGAAATACTGTAATTGTCTTTTTTCTCAATTTTAAGGTTTGTTTGTGTTTTGTATTTTTTATAGAGTATATTAAATAGATCAAATCAAATATTCTATATTTTTATGCTTGATTGATATTGAATGGGACAAGAATAACCTGAGCTCCATAACAGTTCTCATAATCCCGAAAGCTAAGATGACGGCAGTATATTGGCCCTAACAGCTGCTCGTACAAAAAAGATCTATTAGTCAATCAGCCAGCTCAGCCCACCCTCATCGCAGCTCAAAAAAGATCTATTAAAACAGTGTCCTGCAGTTGTACATGTCTAGGCAGCAACTGACAACATTTTCGGGCAAGGCCATGTTATTCCCTTCCAGGGCCACCTCCTACTCACCACCAGCCCCTTCCACCAAAAGCCCCTCTGTAGTTAGGCAGAGCATCTCACTTGCTTCCCCTATTTACCAAATGTAGATATGCCACTGATATGAAGTGAGTTACTGTGTAGAAATGTTGCCCGTAGAATTACAAATAATAATCTAAAATTCCTGGCTTTATTTTCAGGGTGAAATCAAATTGGCAGATTTTGGTCTAGCTCGACTCTACCATGCAGATGATAAATCGCGTCCATACACAAATAAGGTAATCACTTTGTGGTATCGTCCACCTGAGTTGTTATTGGGCGAGGAGCGGTATGGACCATCCATCGACGTTTGGAGTTGTGGCTGTATTCTAGGGGAGTTATTCACTCGCAAGCCAATCTTCCAGGCTAACCAAGAGATTGCTCAATTAGAGCTTATTAGTCGAGTTTGTGGATCACCTTGCCCCGCTGTTTGGCCTGAGGTCATTAAACTGCCATTCTTTCACACCATGAAGCCTAAGAAGCAATACTCGCGCAGACTCAGGGATGAATATGCTTTGTAAGTGACAGTTCAAATTCATCTTTATTGCAATCATATTATAATAGATTGGATATTACAACAGTTGTCAAAACAATTAAATACATTCGTATATAAAACAAGGACATGTACATTCAAAATAAGTCAAAAAGGTACATTACATGAAAATAGATTATAAAAAAAAATACAACAAAGACAGATGATTACTTATATAAGAAATTTAAAAAGTAGATATAAAAAATAGACTTATTAATAATATAATTATTATTTATTAAAATATTATTATTCATTTGTTTCCTACTACTGTAATTCTACAAAAAAAGTGTTGTTTAAGTCTTACAATCACTAATGTAAATGAACATGTTCTTAAATGGTTATATAGCAATTTGAATTTACCACCTACAACATTTAATTTGATGTGTTAATTGTTGCTTCTGTATAACCACATGGTTCATTTTTCCTTATTGTTTCATCATTGAATAAAATTTGATTAATAATAGTATGAACAATGTGGCAAGCCACAGGTTGACAACAAGAGGCATTGTTAATTGGTAAATATAAAATCTATATAATACATGTCCAGATAAAGTGGTAAGTACACGGTAAGTATAAGGTATGTATGTAGAAACACAGTATATGTAGTAATTAATAGTGTTATGTTGCCCTTGTGGTTACTTTGATTTTTTTTTATTTGATCATATTCAATGGTACATTTCCATGATATGTGTTATTACCACAGGTTGCCTCATCATGCACTGGATCTTCTTGATAAGATGCTGACACTAGATCCTAGCAAGAGAATCCAAGCCTCCAGCGCACTTGAATGTCAATGGTTAAAATCCATTGATCCAAAGAAGATTCCACCACCAAAGTGAGTTCTCCAAATTATCCTGTTATTATTATTATTTATTTTATCAAGCACAACTGATAGTATTGGTGTTTGTAATTGAGTTTTGTTTTTTTATCATTTGATGTCTCTTATTTCTATAGTCTACCAACATGGCAAGATTGTCATGAGTTATGGAGCAAGAAGAAGAGGAGAATGGAACGACAGCAGGGCCAAACATCAAATAGCAAGTCCCTGCATCAACAGAGAAAGGAAGCTGGCCTAGGTCTTACATCTGATGATAATATTCCAATACCAGGGTTAAGTGATGCAGATGTATCCAGCTCTAAAAGTGGCACTCCTCAACCAGGTACTTCACAAGAGGATTCAAATGCAAGTGCTGCTGAGCAAGCAACACAAAAAACTATCGCTAAACTTCTTGAATTGCTGCAGACTCACCCAGAAATGAATGTTCGTCAGTTAGCGAAGGCATTGAATATGAAGGTCGATGAGACCACTGTTAAACTGCTAGAGAACTTAAACAAACAGTTAAAGAGTGCTGCTGCCGTGTCTGAAAAAGTCGTAACAAAAGTTGAACAACCAAGTTCACAGTCCGATTCCAGTCCTGGGAAGGGTCCTATTAGAAACAGTAGACAATCAGACACTGGATCAGAGAGATTCGGTCATGTAGGGCCTGGGGCTTATGATTCTAATAATGGAGCAGGTTATGGAAGCTCGCGTGCTTCCTCAGAGTCGGGAGGGGGTAGCGAAGGTGGGTCAAGGTCTTCATGGAAGCCTCCCACACCCTTGGGACCACCTCCTGATTCACCAGAAAGGGAGGATGATCACCACCACAATGTTGCAACTCCTGGTGTTAAAGCTGCTTTGATACAGATGCTGACAATGCAAAGAAAGATGTCATCCAGGAATGAGGCAACCAATGATAGTCAACAATCTGCTGGCTTCTCAGGTGGTGATAACTGATATAGCAACAGCCAAGGTGTTGTTGCCAGGCTATTGTAATACCACCTTAGAGGTGACCAAGAGTACTTTGCAAGACATCTGACTTGCTGTACTTGCACACAAGATCAAAGTGAGATAAAACCAGGGTAAGGGATTACTAGGGGTTAGTTGGCATTGCTGAGCACAACATGTTGGACCAAAAGATGGGGATGGTGGTAATATAATTTTACTATTTATATCATATGATTTAAAATTAAAGTGTATTCATGTTTGATGAAAGTTTTCTCAAAAAATTGATTCAAAATATGAATTTCATTCACTTCTTGAAGTGATAGAACATTGTTTACTGTAGTTTGTTTTATTAATTAATAATAAATTCTGGAATTTTTTTGCTTTCATTGTTCAATGTCATAAATGAAGAGGACAAATACTGTAAAGTAGAATGTAAGAGGATGAGTTGAGCTGCTTGTCAGCAATGCAGTACAGTACAGTATTGCAAGTCACTAAATTTTGTTATGTTCCTTAATCTTTACAATTTCATTATTGGTTCTACATACCGTATTTGCCTTCACACTCTCACCACTTTCATGTGATTTTGTAAATGTGAAAAAAACTTGGATGATAAATATATATGTAGATTATAATAATGTTGATTCATTATTTTTTTTTTCTGTATGTGGATCTGTTTTGCTCTTAGCAAGTTTAAAATTGAAAACAGTACCAGCAACAAGATGTGTAGCGGGAAGTCTGCGATGTTCTTTAGATGACTTTTAATTTTGCTAAACGTTCCTAATGACTTCCTTGTACAGTATAATAAATGATTGTAACAGAAACCTGTCTTTTGCTTCTTATTACACTTGTCAATATTAAGGCGGTGAGCTCAAATTGTGAGAGTTGTGTATATTCTTTTTAATTGATACACACAAATCAGTACAGTACATTGATTATAATAAAGTACAACTGCATCCTAAACATGCCTGTTAAGCTAATCAATAATATACAGTAATTCAATATAACAGTTGCTTGCTTTGTACTATATTAGAGTCGGATTTAAATTGAAAAATAAAAAAAATAAGCAATTGCTAATTTACAGATACCCAGACAGTAAATCTTTGGCCTTTAAATGCTGCTTGATTCTGAATAAAAAATTTTTTTTTTGGCACCATTTAGACTTATATTACTTTTGGGTTTGCCTAAAGAAACTGAATATATGATTGTAAAGCAATATGTAAGCTACAAAGGATATTCTAATTAACCAAGTTTATATTTAATTAACCAGCTTTTATGTAGGAATACACTGGTACTGTATAAGGCATTGATAAGACAAGCAGGGAACTTTTTAAGTGAAAGCCAACCTAAAAGCCAAAGTAAGCAATCAAAATATTATTTTAATGTAATATGGTAATGTATATCTTCTAACAAAACTACTCAAAGCAGCAAGTATTAAGTTTAACACCGGAAATATGTACTGTAATTATATTATAATTTTCCGTTTTGTAATAGAGTAAACCCAAATTTTTATTTGAGAAAATACTGTACTGATGTTGCAAACAAAATCTGCTGGGACCGAAATGAAGTTAAGACCAAATTACTCACCATTAATGGGTGGGCCCAATTTTATTTGCGTCGAAACTGCTTATATGACTGGAAGTAGCTCATTTTTCTTGCGCCAGGGCTCTGCTCCGAGACGCTAAGCCCCCTGTGTCATGCAAATGCTGGTGGTCTATCGGAAATCGAGACCCTCACCGCCACTAATTAATACATACCAAACTTAATGTAAAGTGGACTGGAGTGTATGAATGAATAAAATGAGAGGAGAGTACTCCTTAGAAGATGATATACTGTATACAGTACTTCGATGTTAACAATTAATTTATTTATTAGATCAATTTACTACTAATGATTATTGCCATGATCATTATATTTTCATTCATTACAGTACTTTGTATTATATTGCCCATCTTTTATAAATAATGGCTGTATGTTTACAATTTTTGTAGTTTAAGGGTTAACAAATTAGTAACTTACCATGAATTTTGTATTAAGATTATAAGCTGGTTTTGGCTGTGTATCTCATAATGTGAAGCACTGTAGTATACTGTACTGTATAACAAACTTTTAGATTTCAGTGTGGTCTGGCCAGCCCCATGCAGTCTTGGTATGGACTCTTCTGGCCAGATTCATGCAGTTTTGGTATGGACTGTTCTGGTCTTCTGGACTGCACTAAAAGTGAGGAAATATCTTACATCATCCATGTGGACCAACATTGAGTGTATGACCGAGTCAATTTTCTATGGACAGGAACACCTGGAAGCAACTAATTAATATTCATCTATGATCACTTTGAGAAAGTTGGTGTATAATTTGGATGTTGAAACAGCTGGATTCTGACAGAAGGCAGTTTTTCAAGACATCCTATTGTTGGATGGCTTTTATCAAATTCGCTATAACCATTTATTCAGAATTATACTGTGAATTTAACCTGTGTTGAAACCATTGTGACACTGATAACTCGCTGTTGCCAGAGCTGAACTAATTTCTAAGGACAGCTTAGCTACAGACGACAACATATTCGTGACAGAAAGCTAGAAATAAACCGCTGTGGTAAGTTATTTTACAGAGAAATGTGCATCAAAATTGAATTTGGAGAGCATTTTTTCTCAACTGCCTTTGTATATTCTGTACAGATATGGATGACTGCTGACAACTTGTGGCATTTTTTCCTCTGCAAATTTCCTGAAGATAAAATTCTCACCAAAGTTGAATGAAATGTTCAGATATGAAAACAAAGTACAGTATTGTACTATTTTTTTATTTGGTGGTGGAAAAAGCTGACAATTAGGGGGAAAAAATTATTCAACTATATTTTAAAACCAGCTGCTATCTGCACAGACCAGATACCTTTCTTTGGGAGGGCAGAGCTTGGTGGTGGCGTAAGCCAAGCTACCTGTCAGCCACAAATCGGATAAAAATAATATCTAAATCCTTCCAGAATAGCTTAAAAATGGCCTAACATATCACCAGGTTTTAAGTGTACCAGGAAGTTTCACTCTGGTATGGAAATTTACCTGTTGGATTGCTTTCGCCCTTAAATAAATATATCGGAACCACCATTAGGACGACAGGAAAAGTGGTGATGATTTGATGGGATGCACTTTATCAAAGTTAAAACATTATTTTTTACAGAATCTGGTATCTGCAAGAGACGAACCAAAAATAGTCAACAAAATTTAGACAACCGGTCACAGCTAAAACAACAATAATTTTAATAATTTTTATGTGCGTGTGTATTTGGAAAAGTTTTGAATGAAACACGGTAATACATATTTATTCAGCATCCTCCTTTTGTTGATGTTTCCAACCCCTCAACATTCACAGGCGCGGATCCAGTTTTGCCTCTAAATTTTGAAATTTCCATGCATATCAGTGTTAGGGGCCTATATACTGAAATATGAATGCATGCATTCTTCTTGATACTATAAAAGTGATTTTTTTTTTTAGGTCGGTAACACAATTGAAACAAATACTTGATTACTGGTGCTAAAATGCAACTAATTACCAGTTTAATTATTTTGGGGGGTGGGGGGTGAGGCTGTTTGAAAACTGGGAGACACTTGATAGAATCAGGAGATTCTGAACGCCTGTTCTAACAACATTTTTTTTTTGTCGGTAAGTTTCGACAAATCTTGCTGGTTTAACACAAACATATTAATTTTATTTTATCGACAAAGTCTAACAACTATAATTAACATATAATTCAATACTTGATAAACACAACATGTGTCAAGAATTTTTGTTCGTATCATCATTGATATTGGTGGGGAAGTGGAATAGAAGTACAGTAGAATAATAAAATGCGACATTGCTTGTATTTACTGTATTGGGAAAACTGAGATTATTCCGAGGCTTATTCCCGAAGATTGTGAATGGTAACCTGAGCAAGAGCCTAGATGCAGGTGACCGGTAAATTGAAGACTTAACACAGGTAGGTGTGTACAATAAATCAACACAACATTAGTTAAGACTGATTTCCAATAATTTAACATGAAACATCAAATACTAATAGACCTTTAAATGTCATATTTAAACCATTTTTTACTTTTTGCATATAAAACTTCAATGCAAACATAAATAAGTTAAAAAAGCAAACTAAATCATCAATATGTACTACGGTATATGCATACAATTCTGAAATAAAAATATTCATTGAATTTTATTGAAGGCAATATCAATAAGACATTTTAAAATAGATGTGGAGGTAGTGGACAACCGCATTTTTGTACACAGATAGGAAAAATACAGACGGACGGGTCCAGAGATGTCCAAAAGGGGGAAACCCAGCCAACGCTACCCCGCGGGTCTGGTAATTTTTGTTTTCTAGACGCCAGGAATTAACCTCTGGTGTGTTTTATGCAATCAATAATTTCTTTTTTTTTTACTTTCCAAAAAGAGGCCCCACCCCGCCCATGATAGTTTAATTGTTCACGTCTTTATTCATAATGAATATACAGTATTTCAAAATGGTATAGTTAACATAATTTCTGTTAAAGTCTTGTGACTAGTTACGTTGCATTTATCAGAATGACATGCATACAATTAAAATAGTTTTACCCATGACACCTTATCAGCGATTTCTTTAAGATACACAAGATCCTCATAACAATTAAGTCAGAAATGTGTACCTGCAATTGACTTACTACGATCTTTATACGTTTTTTAATTTGCTAGAGGAAATGGCATGGCAGTAAACGCTGGTGTATAATGAATATGCCTGCCTATAATGGGGGTTAGTAATGGCGCCAGCATTGGGGCCCCCTGACCCACGACTAGGTCGTCGGATCAGGTCACTGATTGTGCCATAAAAACTCATCCCGTGAACCCTACAAAGGAGTCCGGTCGACCCTCGGAATCCTCCGTTGGACATGTCGGACAGTTTGTTGGCTGATGTCCCAAATAATACCATAAAAAAGAAATACCGCCTGTGAATTGATAGGGCCTAGTTTTATTGTTCGGGATTTATTTATAATGAATATTCCTATAATGGAGGTGACAACATTTTGTTACTTACACTGCTTTTTCATCAGAATATGTGCCAAATAATACCATAAAAAAAGAAAAACATGATAATGTTGAAAAAATGGAAGTTTAGGTTAGATAATAGCTTTTTAAATACTTGAGGATGGTGTGCAAACACTTTTTTCAGACATGATCTTCCCATTATTAGACTAGATTAGACCAAAGGTTATTGCACTTGTGATTTTTATTACATTTAGGTTTAAAAGTTATTTCACATAACTATTACAGTATTACATTTAAGGGCAAATGTTATCCCATATAGCACCCTTACATTTACACATACAGTAAATATGTACTGTCTGCCAAAAATGACTGGAAAATCCTCAAATTCAAAATAACATTTTGAACAGCTCAATAAAAAGGATCAAATTAGTTACTAACTTGCAACCAGAAACGGGTTTACTATAAAGTTCCTTAAATTAAATACAAGCCAATTTAAGGGTCAATGCAAATATATACAGAAAGGTATATTTATTGGTCATTTAATTGAAGGGAAACTTTGTTCTCATTTAAATTACAAAACTCGTCAGACCTTTTTTACAATTGGGTCATGTGTTACATTTGAAGCTCACACTTTTATGAGTGCATGCCAACACATTGCATCTGTAAAAAAAGGTAAGAGCCCACCCTGAAATTTGTGACTAGGCATAACCATATGCAGTTGAACTTGTCTAAGTCAATCCAAAATGGCATTGAAAATATTTGGCATGTAAAATAAGATAGTTAAGGCAATTTAACTGTACTGGATATTTGGCTTAGAGGCACCCTTGCACTAGGGTGAAATATACAGTACAGTAGTGAAACCATGGAGCAATTGTAAGTCCTGGGAAATCTTTGGCATGAAAGGAGTTTGCTTTGAATATTTAAGCTACAGATGAAATCAGAAATCCCACTGGTGAAGCTGATCCTTTTTGAATAAGCAACTTGATGATTTCCAATTTTATTGACATATTCTACAAACTTAATAACAATGCATTTCATATTAACAAATAAAAGTACATGGAAATTGCACCAAACAAATTTATCATACATAAAACATTTAAATACTGTTTTATAATAAATGTAATTTCTTGACCAAAAAACCCCTAAAAGGTTAAATATTGTTTTATATAAAATTTGCTATATCTAACAAATCGCAACATCTATTAAAGCGCCTAAGTTTTTTTTTTGCTATTAAGTAACTAGGGAACTGGTAAATTATAGAAAGCTTTATCACAAGAGTTTTGCAATAGTCAATACGCTCACCATTGCTATATATCAGCTAAATATGCATTAGAAAACTAATAATACTTTTTGACAGACTAGCGTATGTACCAAAATACAGTAAATAATATTTTGTTTATACAAATTCGTTTCTTCCCCTCCTATTTTTTAGTGAAAATGTCAACATCGTGATGGTACTGTAATCTCCTAATTCCATAATTTTTCATGAATAAAGAAAGTCCATGAACTGATATTAGAATAACATTTAGAATGAATAACTTTCAAAAACATAACCACAAAACAGGACACTTTAATGATCTAAAAATTTATTCAATACATTAAAATCTTGCAAAGGGCAAATCCAAAATTCATTTCATTATTTTACTGTTTGATCTGTATGGTGTGGAGAACACATGAAACTAACATGGTGTCTAAACTATGTATATTTTTTCAGTACTGTGAGATTGGCGGCATTTACCTGTTGAATAAGAACACTAAATGAGGGCAGTCTTTATAGCTGACCCTCGGTGGTTAAAATCCACCAGTGTTCACAGGAATTGCTGTTGAAACTGCAGTTTGTGAAAAAAAAATCTCAATTTCAAAATGGTTTTTTGTACAAATATATTTGAAACATCAAATTCTATAGAATGAGAAAATATGCATACAATAAGATTGGCAGTCCTCAATGGTTAAAATACACCAGTGTTTAGAGGATTGCTGCTCAAATTATTTTTTTTTAACAAAAGAATATGAATTTCAATTGGTTTTTTTGTACAAAAATATTTGAAAATATGGTTAAAATTAATTCTCTATACAATTAATGAGTTTGTAAATATGATTAATTAATGTTAATATATAAGATTTGTTAAAAATTGTAATGATGTATTGAAAGCACATTCAATACATAATCATTCTTTCGATAACATTTTAAACCGTGGTAAAAAGGATGATATAAAATGCCACGAGTAACACCTGTTTACAAATACTTACCTTAAAATAAATAAAAAAATAATAATAATAATTCTATAATTACTAATGATGTAATGATCTAAATATAGAAATAATTTTCCATCATTAATAATGTTATGATCTAAAAACAGACACTGACATCTAAATATTTAAAAAGGTATACAGGAGATAAAATCACTACTTGTACTTGTACAACACCATAAAAATGAAATTTTATTTAAAGATTTAAATCATTCCCATCTGGAATTACTCATAAAATTCAGAAATTAAACAAATTAACGGATGTTTAAAATTAAGTGTTCAAACAGAAAGTACAATATGCAATCCAACTCGCTCCTTGGGATATTGTCATATAAAGTGGGTTTTTCTTTTCAATTAATTACTGCAATAAACCTGTCCGGCAGGTTATTATTTTAATGTTTAAAAAATAGTTTGGCCTGTTCCAAAATGCAGTTTATCATCAAGTTACCCTTGAAAATTTTCAAATCGTTTTGAATGACTGAGGCATCATTAATTTATGGTTTCTGAAATATATCAGATTGGTTTGTAATTATCCCCCAGATAAAAGATCAGTAATCCACTGCATTATCCTTCCTTTTGTCTCAATCTTCAACCTGTCCTGAATCATTTGTTCTCTATAGCCTACAATATGCAGCTACCATATGCATACCCCAGGGAAGTTTCTTGGGTCATTTTCTATAGGCCTTACTGCTCTTTCCATTCTTGGTGGCCTACTGTAGCCCACTTCTTTCCTCTAGGCCTCACAATTTCATTATCAGTTACCTCGGTTCTCTCCGGAATCTGTGATCATCAGTTTCATCCTTCAGTCGAGTGTGTCATTCTATGTTTCATTGTCTTTGTCAGATGCTTTTTCTCTGCAACTGCTTATGTGAAGGTTTTCCAGTTCTTTCCAAGGATCTATAACCATGGCTGGACTGTAGTAAATACTGATGTCATTGCTGTTCCAACTACCTTTATTACTCCCTCGTCCCTAACAAAAAAACAAAATTATGATAGTTAAAAGAAAACATAGTTTATTACTGGGTTCTTTTTTTTTACTTAATTCAGATTCGGTAACATGTATTATACAACGTAAATTAATTAAAATATAACAAATGTTACCAGCAAGTCTGGATCAGGTGAAGTTGCACCTATACCTATATTAATTCAGGTCTTCCTTTGTGAGGGCAATAAAACAATTGTGTTGTCGAAGCCAGACCAATCCAACAAGTTGGAAAAATACATTTCAACAAATCAAAATCATTGTACAGTATCCACAAAGTCAAACCTTATTTTGGTTCCATCCCCTACGACTATGTACTCTTCCATGTCCCTGACGACCTGGGGACCCGTACAGTGGACTGGATGTGTGGAAACCACGTGGTGAGAAGTTTGGATGATTTGGAGAGGGGAATTGAGACTGAGGTGAATATGGGGAGTTGTAGGGTGAGTTACGTTGATTATAGCCACATGGAGATGGTCCTCTGTACCTACAAAAAAAAATATGTATGTATAAGTCAAATATAAAATATATAACGGTAGGATAGTTTTAATTTTCAAAGTTGAAGTTTATTGACTAAGATTTGTGATTGTTGTAAGTCACCATCAAACAAATGGGGAAAAAATCTGCCTAAATTTGATAATCATTCTTAACTTAGTTAATTTGATAATCAACAGTAACTTCAGGTTCAGGTCACCATAGTTTTTAAGACGATTTCTTGGAGTCTGATTTGGCATTAAAAATAGATATTTGAATGAAAATGGCCTCTATAGTCTAAGTACTGGATTTTGGCCTAGCAGCCACCTTACCTTCTTAGGCCCCAGCCCCTACCCAACGAATGCCATCCGTTTTGGCCACGGACCAGTTCGACCACGATGTATTTAAATTAATATACAGAAAATCAGAAAATTAAGTGTTTGTCTTAATCTTATTAAATATACACTAGTCTTAATTTACATATTAGTTACCACTGACCAGTGAGAATTTAAAGTTTGTTAAACTTAGAATTACACTCTTTTCTTGTATGTTATGCCCGCCAAGCTACCCTTGTCAAATTGACATAAATGAAACATGTTTTACTTTCCAGACATTCTCTTTATTACTTTGAAGTCAAGACAGTCATATTTATTATTTATCAGTAAGACATAGGCTGTATTCAGCTGGTCATTCTTTGTTAAACCACGCCACCGGCGCACTGGTAAAATCCTACTTAACGAAGACGACCAGTCAAATAGAAAACCGGTAAAATACTCGGCAATACAAAATGGCTGCATACTGTAGTTACTGCAATACACGCTGCGTAATCGAGATTACTTTGGCTTGTGGCAGTATTGGTTTTTCGTATTTTGAATTCTGTTAGCCTACAAATAATTATTTTTTGACTTTATGGTAAATATTAGTTTTTATTTTCTGAAATTTTAATCTAAATTATATTAACGCAAATGTTGTTGCTAAACTGACCAATTGGCCATGTTTGTTTTGGTCATGTAGATAACTTAACGCTGATTAACGCATTCTGGTTTACGTTAATTTTCGTTGTAAACAAAGTCATTTTTACGAACCAGTCGAATGGAAATAATACTCAACAAAAAATCCTAGTCAATGAAAATGAACCAGTCGAATATGCCCATTTATTAGTCAGTCATTCAATTAATCAAATTGACTGAAAAACATACAAAATACAAATTAAAAATTCTGTTCCATACATTGCGGCAAAAACGGTCCTACTGTAACACATACCCAACTAGTTGGCGTAGCTAGGCCTATTAAGTACTTATAATTACTCTCCCACCAGACAACCACCCTAACTAGGCGCTTATACCCGATTCACATGTGAAGTTAAATTTAACAAAAAGTAACAAATCGTAAACGAGCGATCTCCCGAGTTATTCCT